AACACTTCTAATATTAAACTTTGAAATCAGTGTGAGCTATATATAAACTTAAGAAAGATTAATAAAAACAAGTAAGATCATGGTTTTCCAACATGCTTATTCCACTTCAGGGCTGTGGAGGGGGCGGGTGGGGTGGTGGTGAGGGGAACAGAGTCTGTCTCAGCAGCTCGGGGCACAAGGAGCGACCCACCCTGGCCCTTCCTGACCTCCTCCCTAATGTCCCACCCAACCTCTGTCTCTACACCTTTACCCTCTGTCTTGCATTCTTCAGAGACCTTTCACGTATCCCCTATCTCTTTTTAATTTTTTAAATTTTTATTCTTTTTTATGTTTTGTTTCATTAATATATTTTTATTGATTTCAGAGAGGAAGGGAGAGGGAGGGAGAGATAGAAACATCAATGATGAGAGAGTCATTGATCGGCTGCCTCCTGCACGGCCCCTACTGGGGATCCAGCCCACAACCCGGGCATGTGCCCTGACCGGGAATCAAACCGTGACCTCTTCGTTCATGGGTCAACGCTCAGCCACTGAGCCACACAAGCCAGGCAGGTTTGGTAATTCTTATTCTCTCTTAACTAGAAGAATCTCAGCTCAGTGAGGGTGGCACTCTGCTTCCACTCGAGCACACAGTAGGTGGGTGAGCAGGTGAGTGAAGGACCCCAGAGTGGGCAGGGCAGCGATTCTCTCCCCAGCTCACAGGTGGGGAAATGGAGGCCCAGGCACACCTGAGGCCCATGTGGTAGTAATCCAGGGCTCACTCCATGCACCACCTGCCCCCGGCAAGGTGAATAGGTGATACCGAGCTCAGGTTCGGCTACCTGCTGCTTGAAAGCCAATAATCGAGAGACAAGGCCTGGTGGAAGGCAAGTAAGTTTATTCACAAGCCGGCAGCTTGAGAAGATGGGGCCTCACATCACAAAGACCACCTTAACCCGGCACAGGCAGGGATTTTTGTAAGGAGGGAGAGGGAAGGGAAAAAAGCAGGACAGAGAAATCTAAAGATGTTGAGAGTTCTCCACTGAGGAGACTACAGGTAAGTCAACAGTCTGTTCAAATAACTGGTTGAAGGTCAGCAAATGGCCCCAAGCTAGAATGTCTGAAGGTTGGAGTCTGCTTTTTTTCCCAATGTTTTTAATGATTTTTTCCTTTTTTTAGAGAGAGAGAGGAAGGGGGAAGGAGAGAGAAACATTGATTGGCTGCCTCCTAGATGCCCCCTTCTGGGGATCGAGACCACAACCTGGGCTTGTGCTCTGACCAGGAATTGAACCAGCAACCTCTTGGTGCATTGGATGACGCTCAACCACTGAGCATACCGGCCAGGGCAGAGCCTGCTTCTTTTGAAATTAGATCCTAGAATTCTTAAGCAAACAGGCTGTTTATCTGCAGTCACATGTTAGTTAACAGATCACCATTTACAGAAATAGTGTTAATAGGACGGTGGGGAGCCCACCTTCTCCTCTTGGCAATCTGCTCTGCCTTCCTGGGTGCCAGTGTATAGAAAGACAGGGGCTGGTCAGGTGGAAGGAACACTGTGGCATGGGCACAATTCTGCAGGAGGCAGAGGGTGAGAGAGGCAGGGGCAACTGCCCGGACACCAGGGTGGGAGCCCCAGGCCTCGTGGGCCTGGATGTACCCTGGCCTGGAGTCATAGGGTTGCCAGGTGAAAGACAGGACAACAGGTAAAGTTGAATTTTAGATAAACAATTGATATATTTTTTAGTATAAGTATGTCCCAAATATTGCATGGGGCCTACTTATACTAATAAGTATTGTTGTTTATCTGAAGTTCAATTTCTCTGGGCTCCCCTATTTTTACTTGCTCAATCTGGCAACCCTACTGGGGGGAATGGCAAGGCCATTGCCAGGTGCCAGGAGGGCATATCTTAGGGGCTAGCAGGATCTTAGGGAGTGCCACCCATGGGGAGTGCCAGTCTGAGGGTGAGGAGTGGCTGGTGGCCCAGAAATGAGGGGCCTGGTGGTGCCACTTCCAGCCTGCCTGCTGGGGGAATGGGTGCAGCTCAGGGCCTTTTCCAGCCCCAGGTCTGATCGCCCCCCCCGCCCCCCGCTCTCACTATTTAACCCTCTGTGCCACATGCCCTTTCCCACAGGATAAAGAGCAGAACATCTGCATGGCGTGGAGCCAGGCACGGTCCAGCCATGCTGTCACCTCCTGCCTCCCCCAGTCATGCTCCAGGCTGCAGCATTCAGCCGCTTTGGTTCATACCCAAGCTCCTGCCTCCTGGTTCAGGGCCTCTGGGGTCCCATCTGGGGAGAAGGGCTATGCATGTTCCTCTATCCCAGATGTATTTGTCCCAGATACATGCAGTGTGGGGCACATGGTAGGTACTCAGGAAACAGCCAACTGAGCTGGATGTGCAGCTCCCGTTCCTCCATGAAGACAGGTGGCTCTCAGTGGAACAATTGACTCGAGCATGAGGCTCACCTCCTGTGTTCTGCAAGGCCCATGGGGGTTCCTAGGACCCCAGGCCTCCCTGCTGATGACCATAGGCCACTGTCACCAAGGCCACTGTTTTCTGAGCCCCTACTCTGAGGAGGCATTTTACATGTGTTTTCTCTAGTTGAGGCAAAATCCCTACTGGTTGGGGATAGATACGGCCCCATTTTAAAGATATGGTGACTGGGATCAGAGAGGTGAGATCCCTGCCCAAGGCCACCCAGCCAGGGAGTGGTGAAGGAAGCCGCATTCCCAGCCAGGCCTGCCCAACTCCAGATGTCGACCTCCAAGGACCATCCATAGGCCAGTGGCTGCCTAAGCCTGGAGCCCCTTCCCTCAGCTGCTCTGGCTCCAGGGCCAAGGATAGAGATTGGGCCTGCTCCTCACAGCTCTACTCCCCAACCCTCTTCTGGGCCAATGCCAGCAGAGGGTGGCTCATGTCACAGTCCCAGTGGCCATATTCAGTGGTACCAGTGTGAGGGGAGAAGGTCAGTGTTTCCTAAAAGTCTCTGATCCCAAGAATTCCCCAGAGCCCTTATAAAAAGCATATTCCCAGGCTCTGGTGACTCAGAAGCCTAGAGTGGACCCCTGGAATCTGTCTTTTAACCAGCAGCCTCAGGTGAATCCACTGCAACTGGTTTCAGAGCCAATGATGAATTCCCTGGAGAACTCAGGCTCTCTGACCACACCCCAAATTCCGCAGAGGCCTTGTAGGGTCATTGGATGCATGTGCATGAGGGTGCTTTCTCCCAAGGAGGGAATACTAGACTCCCCAGGTCTGGCCCCACCATCTGCATTCTCAGCCTGTGCCCCCATGAGGACAGGTTGGGGTTGGTGAGAGCGGCATGACCTATTGTTTGTGGGGTGACCTCCACATGCCGGGAACTGTGGCTATTTCTCCAGGCACCCCCAACCCGATGGCTGAAAATGACAGTTTGTCCCCAAATGGGGCTTCCAAGGGGGCTTTCCTACCTCCTCACCCCCTTGGGGACTCTCTGAGCCCCAACTTAACAGATACCAACAGCTGGTGATTCTCCGGGTAGGAGGAAAAGCCCCTAAATGTTCTGTAACAGCTTCTTACCTCCACCTGCACCAGCAACCCCTCCCAGGCAGCTGGGGCCCATCCTCTCACTATGACACTTTTTTTCCTGGAGCCAGGATTGGGTTAGAAGAGCCAACACCAGCTTTGGTGGTTTAGATTCTTACAGTTCAAAGGGTGGCCCAGAGGTCAGCAGCAGCAGCATCACCTGAGAGCTTGTTAGAGATGCAGCGTCTAGGCTCCACCCAGACCCCTGGCCCCTAAAGATGACATTCCATCTCCAGGAGAATGCGCCCTCCACACATACCAGCAGGACTTTTGGGGGGTCAGATTAGGGAATGAAGGGGGAGCCCGCCCAAGGATCAGAACTTAGGCAGCTCTGTGCAGCTCTGCCTCCTCCTCTTGGCACATCCCAGGCCAGTCACCACTGGGGGCCAGCAGTGGTTGAGTGTGTCAGAAGCTTGGACGGGCAGCCCTTCTCTGAGTCACCAGGGTTGGGGGACAGGCCCACTATTGCCTGTGGCAGGAGGGCAAAGGGCAGGACTAGGGGCATTGGCATCTGGACACTCAGCTCTCTGACCCTGGGTGGGAGGTCAGGAGAGGGATAGGGCAGAAAAAAGGGGAAGTGACCTTGTCCTGGGCCAGGACAGACTTTCAGGTGGCAAGCCTGATTCCAGGCCCCCGCCCCAGGCTTCTGAATCTCCAGGGCCCGGCCTGGGAATCTGCTTTTAATAAGGGCCGCTGGGAAATTCTTGGGATCAGAGACTTTTGGGAAACACTGATCTCTGCCCAACACTGATATTCTTTCATTCACTCATTCGCTTGCTCATTCAAAACTTATGGAACATCCACTTTATTCCCTGACTCCCCCGCTCCCAGTCTTCCTCCCGGGGTCACTGTTCAAGGTCCCCAAGTGCCCGTCTGACCCGAATCGCCCCTCCCTGCCCCGCTCTGTCCA